TAATAATAATAATAATAATAAATAAATAAAATAGAAAGAAAGAAAGAAATGAAATGAATAGAATAGAATAAAATAGTAGGCTTAGTCATAATCCAAATAGCCTGTTACTTAATGACTGGGGTTACTGTAAAGTAGCCACACTTTGTACTCTAGTTACCTTTTACTTCAAAATAATATTGCTTAATAAAATTACTCAATTTAGGAAATTACTGAAGTGGACTTATTTCACATTTGTATATATAACACTATAAACACAGTTTCAATTTCATCTACGACACAACAACAGTGTTCGTGTGTGGAGGCTGGAATTGCACCGTCAAATTGTGGGTCAAAGGACAAACACGGAGAATTTTCCGAACTGTGGTTTTAATTTTCATGCAGGAGACGTGCCACCTCCAGAAAATTACACACAGAACTTTTAATGTAATGTGAAGGAAAAAACATGAAATAAAGTGTCTTTAAAAAATGAGACAAAATAAATCAGATCTGAGAGAAACAAATGTTCAAATCATTTAATCTAAATGTCACATAAAAGTTTCATCACTTGAGACTCACAGTGGGAAGAAGAAACACAACTTTTACTCAAGTAAGAAGAGTACTATTACTCTGTACAATATTACTCAAGTAAGAGTACTGTTACTACAAAGTATTATTCAAGTAAGAGCATGGTTACACTATAAACTATTACACAAACAAGAGGACTGTTACGCTGTACGTTTTATTTTACTAAAATAAAAGTACTATTACACTGTATGATATTACTTAATTAAAAGAACAGTTACTACAAAATATTATTAAAGTAAGAGTATGTTACAGTGTACAAAATATGAATCAAAATATTATTCAATACAATATACAATATATGTACAATATACAATATGTTACTACAAAATACCACTGAAGTAAGAATACTGTTACCCTGTACAATATAGTGTTCAAGTAAAAGTATTGTTACACTATATCTTTTATTATACTAAAGTAAAAGTAGTTTTACTCTACAGTACAACATATTACTCTAATACAGTTCCTACAAAATATTACTGAAGTAAAAGTACTGTTACACTGTACAATAGTACTCAAGTAAGAATACTATTACACTTTACAAAATATTATTCAAATAAAAGTACTGTAACACTGTATGGTGCTACTCAAGTAAAAGTACTTCTAGACTGTACAATATATTACTCAATTAAGAGTACAGTTACTACAAAATGTCATTCAAGTAAGAGTACTGTTACACCGTACAAAATATTACTTGAGTCAAAGTACTTCTACACTGTACAAAATATTGTTCAAGTAAGAATACTGTTGCAATATATTATTCAAGTACAAGTACAATTAGAACCAAATATTACAGAAGTAAAAGTACTGTTACACTGTATATTTTATTATACTCAAGTAAAATACTGTTACACTGTATATTTTATTATACTCAAGTAAAATACTGTTACACTGTACAATATATTACTCTAGTACATGTACTACAAAATATTACTAAAGACTACTGTTACCCTGCACAAAATATAGCTCAAGTAAAAGTACTTTTACACTCTACAAAACATTGTTCAAATAAAAGTACTGTTACACTGTACAAAATATTACTGAAGTAAAAGTATTGTTACACTGTACAAAATATTACTGAAGTAAAAGTATTGTTACACTGTACAAAATATTACTCAAACAGGCAATAGTCCAATGATGTGGAGAGTTTTGTGAATGGGCCATAAAGTACTTTGACACTTGTACTTTTACTGTTAGTACATGTACACAGTGTGTATTTGTACACAGTTGTCCCGCCTCAGGCCACAGAAGAGCTGATGTCTCTGAGTCACTGTGTCACTGTCCTGTTCTGACCAAACTCTGGCCTTTTGTGAATGTTCTGAGGAAACAGGGGACCTCTCACCTACATGTACACCAGAGTACACACGCTGTACTTTTACTCTTGTACTTTTACTGTAGTAGTTTTGTTTGATGTAATAGTTTTGTCATGAGCAAAAAACCCCATGTAACTTCTTGACACAGTAATACGGTAAAATTATGAATAACTTTTGAGTGGCTTCTGCTTTATTTTCATCAGAGCATTTGAAAAGTAAGAGATATTTAGACATAATTTTTCATTTTGTGCGTGATGTATTTACAGATAATTCACTTAAATTTAATAAACTCATCAACAAGTCAAGATTCCAGAAGAAGTAGGTAAGAAAGCAGAGAGGGTTTGTTTAGTTTAAAATTCAGAGCCTGTGTTTTACATCCTTAAACAATCCTTTTTGATTGGATAATTCGACTTTTTTCAGGCTGATTTCTCTTAGACAAGAAATCTATCAGGACACATGAGAGTAAAAGTAGAAATCTTGAGTTAAAGTCCCACTACATAACATTTTAACAAACAAACAACAAAAACACAAATAAATAATTTTTCTAATGCATTGAAATATGTTGCGTTATCACAACCAGCTCCACAGTATTTCCACGGAGAATGTTCAGTCATGCAGCCGTGACACCTCCAGGAAGGTTACGCAGTGTTGCTTTGAACTGACTTGACTCTGCTATTTTTCACTTGTGTTTGAAGAGAAACAAAAAAACAGGGACTACAGGAGTTCCACGTGCGAGCTCGAGCAATATAATGGCGCCCTCTTCTGGATTTAGGATCGACATGCAATTCCCTCCAAACCAGGATAATCCCAGACTAATAAGAGTTTCACCAAATAATAAAAAATACAAATTAAAAAATGTGTCATATTTGTATGCATTTAAATAGTGTTACGACCCAGCTCGTTTGGTGTGAGGGAAGTAACAAAATAAAACCAAGATGTAAAATGGAATAAATTAAGTAATGTTAATTAACAGGAATAAAGGTAAATAACAAGACAAGTAAACAGTGTGTGCCAGAAAAGGGGTCACGCAGGCTTACACAAAAACGTGGTAAAACTTAAACACTAAACTAAAACACAAGTAAATTAAACACATAAGAAAACAGAATTGACAAATCAAAAAAGGCACAAAACAGAACTAGACTAACACACAAACACAAAACCAAAATGGCAGACTGGCCACCAAGGCCAGCAGCCCCGAACAGGTCTGGCAATCTCCTTAAAGGGGGAGGTGCAGGTGAACTTGCCCCACCAATCACAGTGAAGCTCCAGACTGTCTGAAATAGTGTGTTTAAACTATACGACAAGTTTGTGTTTGTACAAATATTAATGAAGTTCAGGTCCAACTTTCTTACAAAAACAGTGAAGCTCCAGACTGTCTGAAATGATGAGACGACATGAATGTAGAGACAAAGGCTCAGTCACACGGGAGGAGCTCGGAGTAGAGCTGCTGCTCCTCCACATGGAGAGGAGTCAGCTGAGGTGGCTCAGGCTCCTGGTTCAGACATGTCCCTCTGGTAGGAAACCCTGAGGAAGACCATGGTGGATCAGAGGAACAGAAGGTGTCCAGATACAGAGGAAGAAGACACGTGATGATGAACACATATTTTCACATCAGTTATCATCAGTCAGTTCATCCATCCCTCAAGTCCCTCTGAGATTTTCAGGGGGACATTTTTCTAAATGGGACTCTATTGTTTATAGTCTTATGGATCTTACCAGAAACATTCAAATTATTACAGAAATAAATACATACATACAAATAATACATCTTAAAGTTCTGCAGGTTCATAAATTTAATATGGTCTGATGTCACGATTATCTGAGTTTTAGTGAAGTTGCTCATAGACTGTATATTGTGTATATAAGTGTATGCTCACAGCCAAAGACTGTATACAACATAGCCTGTACGTCTGTATATCATATATACTAGTAAAGTGTATTTATCATTGAAGACTATTGGTTAATGAAGTTACACATTGAGTTGAAGCTTAAACACTGAGATCTTATTTGTTGAACAGTACCATTGTGTTTCCTATATAATGTGTAACCTATGTGCTTCTAAGCAATTTCCTTTGCAGAACTGGGACTGTGGAGACAACTGTTGGAGGGGGTTGTCTCAAATTCCTTTGCAGAACTGGGTCTGTTTAGATAACCAGCTGGCTTATCTAAACAGACTTGGTGTGATTTACAATGGTTTGGAGGGGGTTGCCACTTCCCCCAAAGAAGAAATGCTGACACTTCAAGGCAACGATTCAAGGCGGGAACCTGCTCAACATATTATTTGCATATTCAAATATGTGTTTATAAAAACTGGATTGAAGTATTCAGAAGGGGTCAGATGCCTGATATAAGCCCTATGTAACTTTGTAGGCAGTTAGGGACAACGATCTGACCCAGAGCTCTGTATTAGAATTGAATTGTCAGGGGAATAAATTTTTGTAACTTAAATTGATTGAGTCTAGTAATTTTTTATAGAACACGCCTAACATCATGTATACTAGTATAGTATATATATATGTATCACACAGTATATACTAGTAGAGTTGATATATATCATACAGCAGGGGTCTCCAACCTGTAGCTCGGGAGCTACAAGTAGCTCTCCACCCTCTTCCAAGTAGCTCGCCCAGGGATTTCTGCATTATATATATAGCACTGAATAACTCAAATTTGATTGATTAAATGCCTATTTTCTTTGTAAATGTATACTTTTGATGCCTAATTTTGCGCACTGACAACTGGATAAAAGATTATGTTTTATAGACACCTAACTGTACCTCATCTTCAGATTACCATGGCTCTTACATTTTCAAAATTTCTGACGACCACTAAAATGAGTAGCTCTCACATCTTCATTTTACAAAAAGTAGCTCACAGGAGGAAAAAGGTTGGAGACTCCTGTCATACAGTACATACTAGTAGAGTGTATATCGTACATATTCGTAGAGTGTACAGTATATACTAGTAATATATACTAGTAAAGTGCGTATATATCATACATAAAGTGTATATACCATACATAAAGTGCATATATATCATACATACTGGTGTGCTGTACACACGCTCGGGGAGGAGGGCGGATTCCGTTCAAATGCAGCTGTGTGCGTGCTGACGTCACGGTGCGTACGTCAGTGAGAGCGTGTGGAGGAATGTGCCTAAACTTTTCCCTGAGCGCTCCGCGTCTGTGACCGAAAAGTGGCTCATCGGGACGAAAAACTCGACTAAAGTGGTGCCAACTCGAGCAGGTAAGCGCCGGGGCCCGCGGGCTGGTGTACCGAGGGAGTCTGCACCGCCGCCGGACACTTTAGACCGAGTTTATCCGCTTGGAAACTGCGGAGGACAGATTTAGTGTGAGCAAAATGGAGGCGCTGTCCTGGGGCTGATCAGGACCACGGCTAACTCTCAGATCTCTTTAGACCCGATCCTAAACTCAAGAACATCCGAACTAAGGCGTACTTTCATTCAACACTTACCATCATACTTTTGAACAACTTTTAACACTTTATTTACTCGATAGTTCTCTAAAATGTCTACTTCCGTGAGCAAACTTTACCCGGACCTCGTTCGAAAAGTTAAAATCGTCCTTTGTTGCGACTTTTAAGTTATTTAACATATATTTCCTTTTTTATTTGACCACTGTTCGTCATATTTCTATATGACAAAGCAGAAAATCGATTTAAAGTGAACTAACATCAAGACAAAACTTTTATAGCCGCAAAATTGATTCCCGTTGCAAATGTTGATGCTTTTTGACACGTACCCCTTATTCACGTCCGTCCCGTGGCCTGTTTATTTCTCATATTTAAACTGAACTGACAGAAATAATGCGACTTTTAATGAAGCCGAATATTAACTGGGAATATGTCAAATAAAGTTGGGAGTTGATTTCTTGAAACCTTAATCCTAAACAAACTCTATAGGAGAATGTTGTGTTTCTCATGGGGGTTATGAACAGGACCGAGCTGGCGCTGTCTCTGAGGTGTGGTGCTGTTCCAAAATGGCCGATAACAAAATGTCGAGCCTCGTGAAGCACAGACAGAGGCTCCTTCTGCACATTCCCTCACACAACACACACAGCATGTGGGCCTGGCTCTGGGCTGCTGTGCAAACACATTTTTAACTCTAATAGCGTTAAAAAGTTCATGTCACGAACTAAACTAAATATACTATCAGAGGTGGGTGGTACTCAGTTACATTTGCTTGAGTAACTTTTTAAAATAAATTGGACTTTTAATTATCCTCTTCTGTCTGCATGATTTAACTATTCTTGAGTAATATTTAGTTTGAAGTAACAATAAGTAAGTTTCAGTAAGTCTACAAGTGACAAAAGCTTTATGTTGTTACGTTAAAATTATTACAGTCACTTCGAATTATAAATCAGATGTCAACATTTACTCTTTAATTTACTCTTACTTGAGTAGTAGTTTTTCCAAATACTTTTACTTGAGTCATTTATTTGGACTCAAGTAACGTTACTCTTTTCTGAACAAAAGTTTTTGCTACTCATAACCTCAAAATGTAGTTTTAAATGTTAGTATCATGACAACACTACTATTGATTAATTAAGTATAAGTAGTAGTTTTCATCTGGTAATTTTTTCACACAACAGCTGTTTACAGGACAACAGAGGGACAACAGAGGGACAACAGAGGGACAACAGAGGGACAACAGAGGGACAACAGAGGGACAGGGAGGAGGGCAGACTGCAGATGCCATTAGACTATTCATGACCTCCTACTACAACATTGTTAATATAATTTGTTGTTTTGGTTCTAAAGAGGATTATCTAATCAGATAGCAGAATGAGCTTCACATGAGTCCGTGCAGCTCCGTGAGTGAATTCTGGAGGTTTTGAGCTTCCCACATGAGGCCGGGCCTGTCCGTTTACAGAGAATGAGAAAAACTTGGAACTTGGAAACGTATCCTCTAAGTCTGTCATGATAATTACTATGTTGACTTAAGGTGCAGTCCATGAAAGACCAGTACTACGATAAGATTTGAGCTGAAGAGTGTTACTCAAATAATGAGAGGGTTGAGTAAAGAATGACTCATTACAGATACAAACCAGTGAATAAATAAAGTGTTTCCTTCTGTGTTTTTTGCAGTTCCTGTTTTCTAACTGTGCTGCTTACGTGTTATAATAGTGACATAGATTAATCTGAATATTATTTTTTATTGTCTATATTTTTTTAAGCAATATATTGTTGTTCCAGATTTAATTTCCATGTTCCAGACCTTCACATGGAATAGAAGAACATTTTTTAACGCAGTAAAAGTGCAGTCTACATACAGTTCCTGTTTAATATCCTGCGTAAACAACACTTGTAAAACCTAAAAATAAATGTTGATGTTTGGTTCTTCTGTATTCTTCCTCGCAGCTAAACAAACTGCTGCTGACGTTCACATTTTGGACTTGCGTCCTATTTTCTCTTTTACAAACTTATTCGGTACATTACCATAAGTTTTATTTCTTTTATTTTCCACAGGTGCATCATGTCTCTGGGGCTGTTCTCGTCTCCGGCGCCGCAGCTCGTGATGCTCGCCAACGTTGCCGCGGTGACAGCGGAGGTGGGCGGCGCCTCGGGCTCCACGGCGCTCTCCGAGGGGGACGGGGGCGGAGCGAAAGAGATGATGGAACTGAAGACGGTGGGGGAGACCTTCTCTGATGATGAGGACGAGAACATAATCAGGTCTGTAGTAAAAGTTAGAACCGGTTCCACAGATACTAGAAAAAAAGGGTTAGGTTAGGTTAGGTTAGGTTAGTTTGCTTTATTCGTACCCGTAGGTAAATTTGCTTTGCAGATTTGAGAGACAGGTTCCACATTTCACTTTTCATTCATCTACAAAACACACATAAAATCACAATTACAAAATAAAGTGTTACAGTGCTCCAGTGCAGAATGGTTTGTTCCATAAACAACCATTTAAAATCATCCATCACGCTTGGCTAAAATCACAATAAATATTAAATATGTTAAAAACACACAATCTTAGATAAATAGATTACAATTTATTCATAAGTATGACAGCAGCCGGAAAGAAGCTCCTTTTGAAAAATGACCACAGCTGTAAAAGAATAAAGACTAAAAACTAAATCATTTTATTTAAAATTTGTTTCTGAAACTTTATGGGCAAAATAAAAGGAACCAGAGTGTGTGGTCACTGCTGAGAACCATTAGCATATACTTATTTCAGTTTAGTCAGTTTCAGCCAGTCAGTTTCAGTTTAGATCAGGTCTGCCCAGTAAGTCGATCGCAATCTAAAACGCCACGGCCAAAAACCTCGTCCTTCTCCTTCTCAATCTCCTCCTTAAAACAAGTAAGTTGTTCATGTTCTGGCTCCGGTACGAGAGGAACTTTAAAATCTCCAGGTGCTCAATGCTGCGTCCATGTTTGGACAACTTCCGTAAACACAGAGCACGATCGCTGCGGTTGACGTCATCGTGTCTCCAGTGTCACATGTGGGACACTTTCGGGCCGTTTAACGTTCACACCGGAGATCACATACAAGTCGCATTTAATTGGTAATGTGAACGACCTCGCAAAAACATCAGATTTCACAAAAAAATCTGAATTGAGCGTTAAGCCCTGCAGTCTGAACGTAGCCTAAGTTACAGGTCAGGTCTGTGGAGAGACGATCCCGCTCACAGTCAGAATTCCTGTTTTTGTAGGTGTTTTTGAGCAATAAAACCACCTGTAATTGAATAAATGTAAGGTAGAGCTGTTTAATGCCACACTGTGGAACATTCCAGGCAGAGCAATGACGTATCCATGAAAAAAACACATTTGACGGACGCTCCTCCAGAGAAGTTACACAATTCAGACCCCTTTAACGTCTCTCTTGGTCACAGATACAGTTATGACGATCAGAGCCAGCGGGAGGTGTGCATCGTGGAGTACCCAGAATCCCCCGCGTTCGTCTCCGTCACCGTGGAACAGGAGGAGGAAATGGACACGCAGGAAGCGGAAAACCACGCCCCGCCCGCCAAGCACCTGACTCCGCCCTCCACCCCCGAGACCGCCCAGAGTCCAGAGAAGAAGAGCAAGAAGAAGCCTTTCCACTGTAAACCCTGCAACTTCCAGGTAAAATAACACAGATATAAAAAAAAAAAAAATACCAAGATTAGATTCGATTAAACCAGATGCCGATGTTTTTCTCTTAGGCGAAGACCGAATCGGAGTTTGTGGAGCACCTGCAGACTCACGCCATCAGCAAGATGCTCGTGGTCAATAAGGTGGAGGGGCGGAGCCACAAGGGAAAGGAGGCGGAGCCGGCGCGCGAGGAACCGGAGAAGACCAATCAGAACGCGGCGGGGGGGCGAGATCAAGGGGCTGATCCGCTGCGAGAGATGTGGATACAACACTAACAGATACGACCATTATGTCAGCCACCTGAAGCACCACAGCAAAGACCAGGATCACAGGTGGGACACTTACTGTACGTTTTTAATGGTCCTATAGAGGCTTTGCAGCATCACGTGATCCCTAAAGCAACGGTACCTACGCCGCCATGACACCGGGCACACTATGCCATTGACTTCAGCAGCATCGGAGAAACATGGGCAGGTTTTGTTGTGTATTTGGTTCTTCTAGACACTCTGAAAGCGATAAAACGATTTGTTTCTTCGCTTACTCATCAGGAGCTCAAACAAGGGAATTATTGGGGAAAAAAACGGGAATTATGTCTAGAGAACATAAACCGCCAAGAGATTTCCTATGGTACCATCAAGACACACTTGTGTCACTTTCATGAAGGTATTTACTATTTAAATTGTTTCATAGTTTATTTAATGAGAGAAGCACATTTACTGAACTAAAATTTAAAAAGAAAACATTTGCAGTGTGAGTGGCAGTAGAAACTGTATCTTCCAACGCACATATAAACATGTCACTCGTCGTAGGGCCGATGTTTTCTTTATTGCCTTGTTTATCCACAACTATGTTTTCTAGAATTAATCTCTTTTTGCGAGTGGATCTTTCTAACGTTCACGAGGATCTTTTCATGGCCGATTCTTTCGAGGTTCGGCTCACAGACTCTTCGACTCGTGCGCCATGTTGATCATAGGAGCCCAGTGTGGGTTCGTTGAATCGTAAACTAGTGTGGCTTTTCCTGGATAAATTAATGAAATTTTAGTTCAGTAAATGTGTTTCTTTCATTAAATAAACTATGAAACAATTTAAATAGCAAATACCTTGATGAAACTTCGGGTGTCTTGATTGGAAATCTCTTCGCGATTTATTTTTGCTAGCCATAATCCACGTCTTTTTTCCGATAATTCCCTTGTTTGAGCTCCATGATGAGTAATTTCCAGAGGAACAGTGAAGAAACGAATTGTTTTATCCCTTTCAGAGCGTCTAGAACAACCAAATACACAACAAAACCTGCCCATGTTTCTGAAGTCAATGGCATAGTGTGCCCGGTGTCATGGCGGCGAAGGTACCGTTGCTATAGGGGTCACGTGACGGTGCAAAGCCTCTGTAATACACAGAGTTGAGTCTTGTGAGCTTTAAGTCGTGTTATAATGCTGTTACCTCATCAAAAGCAGACCCGGAGTTGTGTTTTGTTTCATTTATACATGATTGAGTAACAATTGTCTACATCTCCAAAGCTCAAAATGTTGTGTTCCAAGTTGTGATGTTTTCAAGTTTTCAAGTTAACAGAGACCTTTTTATGTTTAATTGAAGAGAGATTGGAAATTCCTGGGCTGAAATCATCCAAATGATTCTAGTGAAGGTGGAACAGAGTGTTTGCAGTTTGAGAGACGAGCTCCTCTAATGAAGTGGCTGTTTTGATTCTCCAGTGGAGCGAGGACAGCAGTGAGCGTTACATTGTGGAAACAGAACAGCCGCTTAGGTTATTAGGTTCTTTTTTCAGACCAAGGATTTGTTTTCATACCTGGCACTAGCGGTCTTCCTCAGTACGCTCACACACCTGGGATACTGTCCTGAGGAAGTCGGACCGCAGATGGCGCTGTCGTCCTGCCTCCACCGGTAGGAAGACGGCGCCAAAATCTTTTTAAATGAGTGATGTCAAGCGATTACAATATTTAGAGATTAATTAATTATGATCTGTAATTAATTAATCTAATTAATCAGTTTTTTTTTATCTCACCTAAAAATTGCTGAGAAAAGCCTTCAACTTGAGGTATTTTCATTTGAATTATTATTATTATTACATTATTTTCATACTGTCATTAACGTTTTTATATTAGTATCATCATTATTATTACTATTACTGATTTGCATAAATAAACTCAACTTTACAACATATAAACATCACCTCTCTAGAGCCACATCAGCCTGTTTGACATTATAATGTGTTTAATGCAGCTTTGCGCAAGTCTCATAGAAACTAAACTTAAAACTGCATGGCTCATTTGCATAAACTAAGCGGAGAAAAGACAAAAAAAAAAAAAAGCTTCTACTAAAGGACAGGACTCAGTGGAATATGAGTGTTCTCTCTGTGACAGAGGGATGTTGATGATGATGGTGAGTCTGTTCTGTATCTGTCGTGATGTTTTCAGAGATCAGACATGTGCAAGTTTAACGCAAATGCGGCGAGAACGGGAATGAAAATTACAATTCTTTGCGAGAGCGAGCGGAGCAGGACTGCACAGTGCGAGACTGTGTTCTAACAACACATAAAAACAGATTTTATAATAAGGCAACTCGCATAAGATTAACACGATTAAAAAACATAACGCTCTAAATATGACTGTAATTAATTAATCGCAATTAACGCGATAATTTGACACCGCTAGTTTAAATCATCTGAACAGACTCGTCACAGCAACATCACATGACTCTGAGGAAAAACGCTAGTGAGCAGTTGAAACTTTCAGGTATGAAAACAAACCTTTGGTCTGACAAAAGAGCCTACTGACATAAATTATTGGAAGAACAAATGAACTTGATTGGATGAAAACAGCCACTTCGTAAGACGACAGACGAGAGAGCAGCACAGGACCTCAGTCTGCTGTAAATCTCCATCTGAAAGCCACTAACCATTACTTTGAGGATAGTGAGGTACAAATCTGAGCCAGAGAAAAGACATGATTTGAGAGGGGAGTTAAAGATGCTATTTTTGTTAGGAAAGACAATCCATCTTTGAACAGAAACAGAGCACATCATCTCTCTCCTATTTACAATTCCATCCTCAGACCTAAATCAAAACAAAGAAAACAATAGTATAGTCCGGTCATGCTCAGAGGTGTGAAAGCTCCCATCAGGGGTCTGAGTAATTATGCTAATTTGACTCGGGCTCAATCCCCACTAGGTGCAGTTCAGTAGACATGGCTAACAAACAGAAACTGTAAACAAGGTGTTAGTTTCAGAGTAGTTTCAGTGTAGTTGTCTACAGATATAAGACAGAGTCCACCAGTGTCTGACCAGAACCGAAGAAGCAGGTTGGATGAGCTGAGAAACTTATTCAACCAAAAAACTTTTGTCCAGTTGACAGAAATGAATTTCTCCTACCTAGCCTGATTCATCAGCTGATTTCACTTTGTAGAAACCGTCTGACCTCGCAGCATTAGGATTCATTCGCTCGACAGTAAGCGGGTACTTTTTAAATTCAACCAATCGCTGCTATTTGGTCGTGACGTACGTAATGGTCCGGTAACAGGAATAACTGGTATATTAAACTTTTCCCAAATCCCGTAGGAAGAAGGACAATAACATCTTTCCCCTTGATAAAATTCAACAAACATTCTCTTTGTTTTGACTTTAAATCCTCGATCTCAGGAATCGTTGACAACACAGAATGTATGGCTCTTTGCTGATTGGCTGGTGCCCGAACCCGCACTTCCGGGGTTTTTGCGAATCGTCTAGTGTATTCTGATTCTTGACCTGTTTGTTGGGGAGAAATGAAATTGACGGGAGGCACTAGGTCTGGACGACTGAGGGATTTCATGAACAAGTGAAGCCAGTGTAATGTCCCCACAGTCTGTAAAACTAACAACGTGTGTGTGTGTCTCTGTGTGTGTGTGTGTCTGTGTGTCTCTGTGTGTGTGTGTCTCTGTGTGTGTGTGTCTCTGTGTGTGTGTAGAGTGTTCAAGTGCACGCTGTGTCCCTACACCACAGTGAGTCAGTATCACTGGAGGAAACACCTGAGGAACCACTTCCCCAGTAAACTCCACACCTGCAGCCAGTGCTCCTACTTCAGCGACCGCAAGAGCAACTACATCCAGCACATACGCACGCACACAGGTACTGGGACCGGATCTAGGACTGGATCTAGGACTGGACCGAGATAAGACTGGGATAGGATGGGACCAGAACTGGACCTAGCACTAGAACTGAACCCGGGACTGAACCCAGGACTGAATCCAGAACTAGGACTGGACCCAGAACTAGGACTGGACCCAGCACTAGGACTGGACCCAGAACTAGGACTGGACCCAGAACTAGGACTGGACCCAGCACTAGGACTGGACCCAGAACTAGGACTGGACCCAGAACTAGGACTGAACCCAGGACTTTATGCCGCACTAGGACTGAACCCAGGACTGAACCCAGAATTAGGACTGAACCCAGGACTTTATGCCGCACTAGGACTGAACCAGGACTGGACAGGACTGACCCAGGACTGCCAGCACTAGGACTGGACCCAGAACTAGGACTGGACCCAGCACTAGGACTGGACCCAGGACTAGGACTGGACCCAGGACTGCACCGAGGACTGGACCCAGCACTAGGACTGGACCCAGGACTTTATGCCGCACTAGGACTGAACCAGACTGGACCCAGAACTAGGACTGAACCCAGGACTTTATGCCGCACTAGGACTGAAGCCAGGACTGGACCCAGCACTAGGACTGGACCCAGGACTGGACTGAACCCAGGACTGGGAATGGAAGCCAGGACTGGACCCAGGACTGGACTGGACTGGACTGGACTGGACTAGGACCCCAGCACTAGGACTGAAGCCAGGACTGGACCCAAAACTGGGAATGAATCCAGGAATGGACTGGACTGGACCAGGACCAGGACCAGTACTGGCCCCAGGTCTGTAGTCCCCAGAACCCTCTTGACAGTCCTCTTTCTCTGCAGGCGTGCGGCCGTTCCAGTGCCCCTACTGCGACTACTCCAGCTCCCAGAAGACCCACCTGACCCGCCACATGAGGACGCACTCAGGTGAGACGCCCCGCCCACCACACGCCACAATAAACTTTAAGAACAATATATTACTACACAGATGTACTGCATGAACGGTATGAATGAATGAATTTATTTACTTTATGACACTGACACCACAACAGTAAAACAGGATAATCCCAGAAAGACATTTTTAAAGGAGCCGTGATGTCTGGAGAAAAGGGAAACGGTGTGATCCGAGCGCAAACGTCCACTCTCTTTCAAAGTCTGGAACGCACCGGTCCGCACCAGTTCAATTCCTTTATTGTCACTGTCAAATAAAATCACAACTAAATTACGTTGGAGCATCACCACAACTAATATAATAATAATGAGCCATGTTGGATTGTTGTGGTTGTCGGTCGGCTGTCAGTCAGTCGGACTAAACGCGGACTAAACGCGGACTAAACGCGGACTAAACGCGGACTAAACGCGGACTAAACGCGGACTAAACGCGGACTAAAAGAGAAAGCTGGTGAGTCTGAGTTAGTCCTGGGTTAGTCCTGTTTTAGTCCTGTTCTGTCCCTGTCCTGGAAATCAGTCCAGTTAGTTCTGCCGTGTGTGTCGGCGATGGTCTTTTTCCTCTTGAAACGATGTCAGACGCAGACTGAGAGAGACGCCTTTAGTGTTTTTATGACATAAAACATCAGCGGAGGAGATTGACTCGACGACTGGGGCGTATATGTATTTATACTCCACTAATGACACTGGATCAGTCCCGGTCTAGTCCCGGTCTAGTCCCGGTCTAGTCCCGGTCTAGTCCCGGTCTAGTCCCGGTCTAAGCACGGTCTAGTCCCAGTCTAGTCCTGGTTTAGTCCTGGTCCGGTCCTGGTGTAGTCTTTGTGATCGGCTCGGTGATTGTGGTGTATATATTTATTCTCCGCTCATGCTTGTGGTTCTCGCTCTGGTTCTCGGGTTTTTCTTCCTGATAATAACGTCGCTGCGTCACTGACGCCAAAGACGCGCCGCAAAAACACAGGACGCTCTAGTCGCACGTCCACATAGACTTTACATTGAAACTTGACGCCTTGGTGTGAACGGCCCTTAACTGTTTCATTTTATTTCGTGATTCTAATTCTTGAAGCTGTAACTTTTCAATTCATATTCTGATGGATGCTTCAGTTTGAATGCTTTTAATCTGTGTGTGATTCATCACGGGCACGGGCGGGTAACGAGTGGAATGTTAAAGGGTTCAGGTGGGTGTGGGTTTAACTTTGATAAAATCACAGATTAATGGGCGGTTGCGATGCTGAACTGCGCAGGTGCGGGTGGGTGTGGGTCTCCAAAAATGGACTCTGCAGGACTCTGGAGGATTTTTTGAGATTTGCTTGGGGTGGAGTCAAGCTTCGGGAGGAGGTTTAATGGCTTTTTAACAAGACAGTATCTTTCAAAAGGCCTGAGCTGCAACAAATAAATAGCAGAATGAACCAATAATTAGCCATAGAAGTTGCATTTTCATTTCTCTAAAGCTCAAATATTTTGGGTGTAGTACAGAGCCTTCACGTCTAAACCTGTGAGCCTGTCGTGACCTCTGACCTCCGTCTCTGTTGCAGGTGAGCGTCCGTTCAAATGCGAGAGCTGTAATTATTTGGCGGCCAATCAGCACGAGGTCACACGCCACGCCCGCCAGGTCCACAACGGGCCCAAACCGCTGGCCTGCCCCTACTGCGACTACAAGACCGCCGACCGCAGCAACTTCAAGAAGCACGTGGAGCTGCACCTCAACCCTCGCCAATTCAACTGCCCCCTCTGCAAATACGCCGCGTCCAAAAAGTGCAACCTCCAGTACCACATCAAGTCCAGACACGCCGGGTGTGACGTGAGCCTGGACGTCTCCAAGGTCAAACTGAGGGTGAAGAAGGCGGATTCGGACAGCAGGGGGGACAGGAGCGCCGACGAGGAGTCCTGCGTGGATCTGGGAGAAGATGTGGACGAAGACGAAGAGCCAGCGAGACCCATTAATCTGTCCATCAAGAACAAGAAGCCCCAGGAAGAGGCGAAGAAGTCCGGAGACGGTGGGAAGGACCTGGACAGGAAGCTCAAGCAGAAGAAGATGGAGGACTTTGTGAAGGCGGTGCAAAGGATGACGCCCAAAAAGAGGAACAAGAAAGCTGACAAGACGCAAGAGAAGTCTGAGGAGAGGAACGAGGAGAGAGCCAAAACGGACGATGGTAAAGCGACGGGGAAGAAGGACAAGAAGGACGAGGAGAAGGACAAAACGGAGGACGGCAAAGGTGCAGGGAAGAAGGACAAGAAGACAAACAAAGTGTCTTCCGTAAAAGCAGCCAAGAAAGCCAAGACGTCCAAGAGGAAGGTGGCGGAGGTGTTGGACCTGTCCCAAAAAGAGGAACGTCCAGCCAAGGTGAAGAAGGTCAAAGACGCAGAGGAGAAACCCAAAAAGAAGAAGAGCAAAAAGGGAGGGCAGAGTCCAACGGAGCGGGGTTCAGTGGAGGTCCCGAAAGAAGTCCGAGAAGAAGCCTCAACGGTCAACGGAGAACACGTGGAGAACGGCGAGCAGAGAGGTGACCAAGAGGCAGCTCCGGAGGTGGTCCAAGACGTGCCAGAGAAGATGGACGTCGTACCCGAGGAGACGTCGAAGGAAGCGAGCGAACCTGACACTACCGCGGTACCTGAAAATGTTCGTGAGCGCTCGCCGGAGAAGGTCGCAGAGGTGGTGGAGGAGCTGACGGAACAGTCCAACCAGAAAGTACAGCCAGAAAACGGAGAGAAGACGACGGAGGTGGAGGTCGTGAACAAACCGTCAAAGAAAGGGGAGAAGAGTCCAAAGAAGTCTGCTAAAAAGAAGGGAGTTTTGGTGGAGGACGTGGCGAATAAACTGGCTCTGAACAAGGAGTCTGAAATGGTGCCAAATGCGGACAAAGTTCCTCAGGTTTTGTTGAAACCTGTGGAAACCGTGGAACCCCTGGAGAAGATGACTCAGACAACCGTGTCCAAGCAGGAGACGGAGCCCACCACCTCAGAAGGTTCATCTCCAACGTTCTGGGAGTCCATGTTCCGAGAAGGTCCAGCCCACTCCTCCACAAACGCCATCTCCTTCCAAAGAGGTGTTCGTGAAGCCGTCGGGCCGACCTCCTCTGTTCCTCCAGCGGCAGGCGTCCAGCAAACCCACGGAGAGCGAGGAGGACGAGGGCATCCACGAGGGGGTCCACGAGGGGGCGTCCGACGCGTCCGACAGCGCCTCGGAGTGCAGCGACGACTCGGGGCTCAAGATGCTGACGCCGACCGACGACGTGCCCACGCCCGCCGAGCTCAAGGCCCACCTCTGCATCTTCTGCGACCGCACCTTCCCCTTCAAGAGCGACTACCAGCGCCACCTCAACCGCCACCTGGTCAACGTCTACTACATGGACCACAGCAAGGCCGGAAAGTGACCTCGAGAGTCTCTACATCTAAAATAAAACGCGACCTGCCCTTTTAAGAGTTAAGTTTTAAGAGTCTCTACGGTTACACAAACAAGTGACCTGCCCTTTTTTCACAATGTCCGGAAGTGTCCTGCTTTAGAACTTCCGGTTAATGGTTTTCTATGCGTCCGGCGTATTCTCCACCAGCTTCATAAATCTGCCCGATCACCAAATCTTCAACCAACAAGGTCCACAAAGAATGTATCCACAACTTATCAAGGTAAAAAAGATGAAAGTTTAAAGGCGAACAGCAACTATGTTCCCTCAGCGATGTGTTCCCTCATTTCTAAGTTGTTGGGGTTTTTTTTCTTTTCAAAATTAGGCCCTATGTTCCAGCAATTTTCATCAGATTTTATCCCAATTTCTCCCAATTTTGTCGTCAATTCCACCCGACCTTTTCTCCACCAACGCCACACTACAGATGTAACGTAGAGGTCACGAAGGTTGAAATGACTCTGAATTATCACTCTAAATGCGGTACAAAAATAAGAATGACTTGAATTTCAAGATGGGGAAAAGGTCGGGTGTAATGACGGTAACAAAAATGTGAGAAACGAGGGAACATAGTCTCTGTTTGCCTTTAAGTTTTCGTCTTCCTTACCTTCATAAGTTGTGGATAAATTCTTTGCGGTTGAAGATTTGGTGATGGGGCAGATTTATGAAGCTGCTGGAGAATACGCCGGACATTTCCACAGACATTTTGCCAAAGAAAACCATCAACGGGAAGTTTCGCAAACCTAAAATGGGGCACCTTCGGCTGTTGTGAAAAAGGTCTTTACTGTAAGGCAGGGGTGTCAAACTCATTTTGGTCCGGGGGCTTTATCCAACCTACTTTGACCCCAAAGTTCAAATATTTGTTCAGAGAAATACAAATCTATTACAGAAATCTTTTTTAATTGATGAACTCTTTCTTTTACAAAATATTATGAACAACCTGAAACTTTAAGAAAAATACAAATTCAACACAATATTTTAACATGAACTTGTGTGCAAATAGGAATAAGTCTATTTTTCTTGGAAAATCCTGCACTCGGCTCCACTTTTCTCATGTTGGACATTTTTCTGATGAGAGTTACCAATATTTTAATAGAAAATATAATTAAAATATTTTCGAGGGCCAGATTAAAGGTCTTGGAGGGCCGGATCTAGCCCCCGGGCCATATGTTTGACACCCCTGCTGTAAGGCTTCTTGTTGATCTGCTTTTTTTAAGAATCGATACAGTTCGGCCGACAAGTGACCTTCAATTATCAAGCGAAACGTGACCTTTTATTTGTAAAAAAAAAAAAAAAATACTAAGAAGACTTATTTTCTAATGTACAGTTTCTAAATCGGTGTCAAAGTGCGTTGATGTTGCTGCCGTATCATTGTACTGTAGATCAGTTATCCAGAATAAGACCCACAGACCTCGTAAACAGGGGTTTGAATGAGCTAACCACTCTGCCACTGTACTGGACTTGGTGCCTTATCAATCAATCAGTCAATCAGTCAATATGTCAATTCTTGTGTAAATAAAAATAAAACCTGGCTCTGAAAGTGAAGCCAATATTTCCAGAAACATAACAATGGGTCAGTCCGTATGAAATCAGCCGCCCTCCCCTATGAGCCTCTCAGATTTGACTGAAAAAATGTCCAAAAATTTCTAAAATGGCCAAATGAAAGAATCTCAAGTTTTAGCTCAGTCACTTCAGTCGCTCCTGAGTTATGGCCTGTTGAAATTTTGGGCCATGCTCACTTTTTCTGAAGCCTTCATTTATAAGCATGTTTGAAAGACAATAACTCCATAAAAAATAGAGCTAGGAAGATGAAGATTTGTATTATTGTAGATTCTTGGTCATAGATTCTGAATCTGTTGTCAAATATTGAGTATCTTTATTAAGGGGGGAGCTGTGGGCTCTCGAAATCTCACATTTGGTTGCCGCTGAATTTTTTTTTTTCAATTTTTGATGTCCAAGATCTATTTACTCCAAGCAGATATTTACAAACAAACTGTTGAACCTGAATATTTCAGAGAATGAATGAGAGTGAGAATCTCCAGTTGTCTTCCCTTTATAATAAACAAATAGTGTTTAAGTCTATTAAAGGTAATTTAATCTTTCTCGCAGGTGGAAAAGTACCTAAACTCCACCGAAAATGACCCTGTGAGAGCTCATTTTCAAAAATTCCATTTGAAATGAAGGAAGTTAATAGTAGATGTTTTTATTACTTTAAACTAATCAGAATATGCCAAAGTTTGTCTGGTAAAAATTTGATCAACATCTAACAGTGCCACATGGGGAAGTGAGGCTCCAAGAAGGGGTCAAAAAGATCGAACTCTGGTCTGTGACCATATTTGGGACTTTACACCGTCCACATGAAAGCTCAGAAAAGTGTGAGATTGTTGTCAGAAATGGTCATTCTCTAAAATATTCAGGTTCAACAGTTTGTTTGTAAATATCTGCTTGGAGTAAATAGATCTTGGACATCAAAAATTGAAAAAAAAAAAAATTCAGCGGCAACCAAATGTGAGATTTTGGGGGCCCACAGCTCCCCCCTTAATAAAGATACTCAATATTTGACAACAGATCCAGAATCTATGACCAAGAATCTACAATAATACAAATTTTCAACTTCTTAGCTCTATTTTTTATGGAGTTATTGTCTCTCAAACATGCTTATAAATTAAGAAAAAGTGAGCATGGCCCCAAAATTTCAACAGGTCATAACTCAAGAACGACTGAAGGGACTGAGCTAAAACTTGACATTCTTTCATTTGGTCATTTTATACATTTTTTGACATTTTTTCAGCCAAATCTGAGACGGCTCATAGGGGAGATTCTTTGAAAACGTCTGATTTCATGCGGACTGACCCCAGGTACAAGTTTGAAGCAGAGTTAGAGTGAAAATCTGGTTAGACGGACTTTGTGCCTTTGTTTTCTTTATGGTCTCGGGGCCACGTCTGTAACCGTGGTGCGTACTTTTTTTTATCTTCACTTGAGATTCGATTGCAGCTGTGTATCAATTATGAAGCTCCTCCACGTTTTTTAAGCACTAACCAGGTGTAAATATCAAATAATTTACCTTTGCACGTGTTTTTCTAAAGCAGTTTTTGAGTCCAAGCGTCAGACTTTTGATAAAAATAATGCATTGTTTTCATCTTTTTTCGGAAATACGATTACAAATTCTGAGTGTTTTGGTTTTTTTTTGGTTTTGTTTTAAAGTTGCATTGCGTAACTTTCCGCCAACTGCTTGCCTTCATAGAAATTGCGTGATTTTGTATTTGTAAACAGTTTTTACAACCGCAGATTTCCAACTTCGTGCAGGCGACTTTTAACATCACTGGACATCAGTAGGTCACCAGGACTGGACCAGGACTGAACCAGGTCTGAACCGGGACTGAACCAGGATTAATCCAGGTCTAAACAAGGTCTAAACACGGACTCAACCAGGAGTAAACAAGGACTAAATGAGTCCTGACTGAGTCGTGAGCCAGGACTAAACCAGGACTAAACCAGGACTAAACCAGGACTGACTGAACCAGGACTGAACCAGGACTGAACCAGGACTGAACCAGGACTGAACCAGGACTGAACCAGGTCTGAACCAGGTCTAATCCAGGTCTAAACCAGGTCTAAACCACGACTAAACCACGACTAAACCATGACTAAACCAGGATTAATCTTGGACTTGAGAGAGGGAAGACCCCGAGCCCAAGGCCCGTCCCGACACTTAGTCCTCGTTCAGTCCTGGTTTAGTCCTCCTGGTTTAGTTCTGGTTTAGTTCTGGTTCAGACCTGGTTTAGACCTCCTGGTTTAGTCCTGTTTCAGTTCTGATTCAGTTGTGATTTAGTCCTGGTTTAGTCCTGGTTTAGACCTTGTTTAGTCCTGGTTCAGTCCTGGTTCAGTCCTGGTTCACTCCTGGTTTCGTCCTGGTTTCGTCCTTTTTTAGACCTGGTTCAGTCCCGGTTTAGACTTGGTTTAGACTTGGTTTAGACTTGGTTTAGACTTGTTAGACTTGGTTTAGACTTGGTGTGGTCCTGCTTCAGTCCTGGTTCAGTCCTGGTTTCGTCCTGGTTTAGTCCTGGTTTAGTCCTGGTTTAGTCCTGGTTCAGTCCTGGTTCAGTCCTGGTTCAGTCCTGGTTTAGTCCTGGTTTAGTCCTGGTTCAGTCCTGGTTCAGTCCTGGTTTAGTCCTGGTTTAGTCCTGGTTTAGTCCTGGTTCAGTCCTGCTTTAGACCTGGTTTAGACCTGGTTTAGTCCTGGTTCAGTCCTGCTTTAGACCTGGTTTAGACCTGGTTTAGTCCTGGTTCAGTCCTGGTGTCCTACAGGCAGTTTTTATTTCTCAAATACTTTTAAAACCTTCTCAGATTTCACGCGTCACACATTTGTTTCCATGGATAGATCGATACATTTTAATGCCGTACTGTGGGACATTCCAGGCCCTTAAAAACATTCCGTGGAGGCGAGCAAACGACAGGCGCTCCACTGGCAAAGTTACGCAATGCAGCTTTAAAAAAAAAAAAAAACGTCTCCGGCATTATGAAATCCTGAATGAACTTTGCACTCACTGTATCTAAACCCGCCACAGGCCCATAGCGACCGGGACACTCCTCTGGTTCTGGTTCTGATTCTTATTCTTGGATTCTACAAATAAAATGTAACTTTCCTTTCGTTTATATCTTAGCGACATTTTGCCAAACCCGTGTGTATCTGTGTAAAGAATAATGTCTGTTTTTTTTAGCGCGTTTTTGTAGGTTCTGTCCAGTTTTTTTAACCGAAAAGTGCCTTTTTTGACAATCACGTTTTTGTCAGTTTGGTGGAGCCGTTGAATCTGGTTTGTTTCACTGTAAATAACTTTTTGTGTTTTGTACTTCACACCAAAGACACGCAATAAAAATCACAGAAAATGAAAAGAAGAGTGTTGCTTTATTTTTGATGATTTTCTGCTTTTCTTTGTCTGAATCAGAGGTTCTGAACCTTTTATCAGTATGAAAATGTCCCAAGGACCCATATTGTTTTCTGCAAAGTCATTGTAATCGTGCAGGCGACTTTTAACATCACTGGACATCAGTAGGTCACCAGGACTGAACCAGGACTGAACCAGGACTGAACCAGGACTGAACCAGGACTAAACCAGGACTAAACCAGGACTAAACCAGGACTAATCCAGGTCTAAACCACGACTAAACCATGACTAAACCAGGATTAATCTTGGACTTGAGAGGGTATGAAAATGTCCCAAGGACCCATATTGTAATAAAATTTAGAAGTTCAAATCATGTTTTTAACCACATTTAGATAGATTTATTTGTCAGTTTTACAGTGGATACTTTTTGCAGGTTTCCCACAATCATGGAAATTTTGGAAAACTCATCGGAAACTGAAAATGGAGCGGAATTTTGTAAATTCAATGAAAGTTTTGGAAAAGTAATGGAATTTTAGTGTCTCTTTCACACAACTACAGCGTTCTGTTAAGTTTTCATTAGGCTATTATTATTTCTGAACGTCTGTGCCTTTTGTTTCAAAGAAACGACATTAAATGCACTGACAGGATTTTGAATGTTAAAAACTCTAATAACAAACCATAAGGTGAGTGGAAAGAGTTCACACTTCATATTTAGCCCTAAAAGTCTGATCAGTTCTACACATGTAGGTGCTGTAAAGTCATGGAAAATTCACTTTAGGTCATGAGTGTCAAACTCAGGCCTGAGGGCCAAATTTGTATATAGTATAGAGTAGAGTATATTTGGCCCATGAGATCATATCAAATATGTATTTGAGCTATAGAGAAAATATTATTTTATATGATGTTTGTTCTCGATTTAATGTTTAAGCAAAACTATTATTAAACATTTATTTCAATATGAAAAGGTTTAACATTACATATGTCGAAAGAAGAGAAAACATGCAAATGCTGATGAAATTTTTCAATAAATATTTAGTTTGGCCTGCAACTTTTTAAATTTTGGCCTCTGTGAATTTGAGTTTGACACAACTCATGAAAAAGTCATGGAAAAGCTTTGAAGTTTTGTCAGTGAAAAAGAGTGGGAACTCTGGTTTTACTTTTACTTCACTACATTTGAGATCTGGACTGAAAAGTCTTTTTTGCACATTTAATTTGAGTTTCCAACCCAACTTTGAGTAAAACAAAAACACAAAACTCAATCCCTTAAAATCAGCTAAATTCTTTTTCATAACCACTACATTTCATCTTTTAATTGTTCTAAAAATCTTTCTTTATAAAAAACGTTCCACTCTTTAAGTACATTTTAGTACATTTAAATACATCTTAAGTCGTTTTTTTCAAGTGATACTTTTACTTTAAGAACTTTTCACTTTTGTACCTGTGCTTATATTTAAGTAACAGAGTACTTCATCCACCACTGCCCTCAACACAAAAAACATCTAATGCCAAATAACGTGTTGTGTCCTTCATCACTTAATTGTTTGTGGAGCCAGTCAATCCTTTAAAAAAATTGACCAAATAATTTCCGTTGTGGATCAATAAAGTCTAAATAGTAGGTTTGAGTTTGTGCTGCAGTAACAGGCCGTGTCCAGGAGGAGGCGGTATAACCACACTAAAGTCCCTGCGCTTTTGAGTCTCGTGAGTTTTAAATCGTGTTATAATGTTGTTTCCTCCTCAAAAACAGAGCTGGAGTTGTGTTTTTTTTCATTCATGTTTGAGTAAATCTTTATTATCAGTCTGTCCACATCTCCAAAGCTCAAAACAATCCACCAGTTCCACCTTGTGATGTCACAAAGTGGTAGTTTTGAAGTGAACAGATCGACCTTTCAGCTTTTGTTCAGTAGAGTTTGACAATTCCAGCGATGAAATCATCCAAATGATTCTAGTGAAGCTGTGTGGAGTTTAAAAACACAGTGGAGCACTTCCTGTATCACCACATGACATCACAAGGTGGAACAGAGTGTTTTCCGTTTGAGAGAAGAACTCAGTTTGTGTTAAACTTGTGTACTACTACTACTACTACTACTACTACTACTGTTACTACTGTTACTACTTCTGCTACTGCTACTACTACTACTACTGTTACTACTACCACTTCTGCTACTGCTACTACTATTACCACTGCTACTACTATTATTATTACTGCTACCACTACTACTACTACTGCTACTTTTACTTCTACTACTACTACTACTACTACTACTAGTACTACTGCTACTACTACATCTACTACTACTACCACTACTGCTACTACTACTACTACTACTACTACTACTACTACTACTACTACTACTACTATTACTACTGCTACTACTATTATTACTACTACTACTACTACTACTACTACTACTACTACTACTACTACTACTACTACTACTACTACTACTACTACTACTACTACTACTACTACTACTTACTACTACTTACTACTACTACTACTACTACTACTACTACTACTACTACTACTACTACTACTACTCTACTACTACTACTACTACTACTACTACTACTACTACTACTACTACTACTACTACTACTACTACTACTACTACTACTACTACTTACTACTACTACTACTACTACTACTACTACTACTACTACTACTACTAGCTACTACTATTACTACTGCTACTACTTCTACTACTACTACTACTACTACTACTACTACCGCTACTATTGCTACTACTACTAGTAATACTACTGCTACTACTACTACAACTACTACTACTACTAGCTACTATCTATTTATTATATGTTTTTAATTTGATGTATTATTTATTTATTTATCTATTTTTTTCCCTGAAAGTCTATGAAAAAAAACAACAACAACGAATAAATCAAAGTGAGATTAGTAGTATTTCTGTTCTGTTCTGGATCCAGTGGGACGTTTTTCTCGACAAAAACACAAATGACCTGTCGTATTTTCCAAACAAACCCCAGACTGTGAGTTTAAACCATGCAAATATCTCCCACGATGCTTTGCAGTTTATAACCTATTCGGCCCGGCCTCTGTGTGTCTTAAAGCTGCACTGTGTAACTTTTTCGATCGGGGGGGGGGTTCCACAGTGTGACATGAAACAGCTTTACTCTACATTTATTCAGTTACACGTGGATTTATGGCTCAAAAATACTGAGAAAAACAAACATTCTGACTGGGACTTGGTCTGGTTTGGTCTCCATGACGATAGGAAGGTTTAATAATGCCATACTGCGGAACATTTCAGATAAAGCAATAACAACTCCATGGAGAAAAGCGTTTGACGAACCCTCCACCAGAAAAGTTACACGATGCAGCTTTAATGTTAACCTCAGTCCACAGCGAACTGCTACTCCCAGACACTACTACTGTGTACTTTGTAGTAATACTGTAGTACTACTAATAATCCCACCACTACTAGTACTTTTTCGTCTACTACTACTACTACTACAACTACTACTAGTTTCTTCTACTACTACAAAATTGACTGCTACTGCTACTACTACTACTACTGCCTCTGCTAGTACTACAACTTCATCTACTGCCACTACTACTACAACTACTACATCTACTACTACTACTACTGTTAGTACTACTGCGACTACTGCTACTGTTGCTACTACTACTACTACTACTACTACTACTACTACTACTACTACTACTACTACTACTACTACTACTACTTCATCTATTACTACTGTGACTACTGCTACTGTTGCTACTACTAGTACTACTCCATCTTCTACTATTACTACTACTGCTACTACTACTTCTTCTATTACTAATGCGACTACTGACTATTACTACTGTTAGTACTACTGCGACTACTGCTACTGTTGCTACTACTACTACTACTACTTCATCTATTACTACTGTGACTACTGCTACTACTGCTACTACTACTACTACTACTTCATCTATTACTACTGTGACTACTACTACTTTTGCTACTACTAGTACTACTCCATCTTCTACAACTACTACTACTACTACTACTACTGCTACTACTTCTTCTATTACTAATGTGACTACTGCTACTGTTGCTACTACTACTAGTACTTCTTCTACTTCATCTATTACTACTATTACTACTACTACTATTGCTACTACTACTAGTACTACTTCATCTACTACTATTACTACTGCTACTACTGTTAGTACTACTGTGACTACTGCTACTGTTACTACTACTACTACAGTCTGTACTTTGTTGTTTCTGGCGTCATGTTTATCCTGGTTTGTGTTTTTATTGTGACTCCTGCGGTGAGGACAGATGATTCCACTGTGTACACGGCACTTTCAAATACTCAAGAAGTATTTTCACTCATGTTAAACAAGCATTTTAACCTCCTAGAAAGTTACACACTGTAGCTTTAATGTGGTGGTCTCATACAGGGGCCCAGACTACATGTTCCCTAACGAACAAGGTATATTAGGAAACTTTGTGAGGGGCCCCTGGGTAAATAGTACCCTTTACCTCCCCTAGTTTGATGTCCCTGGCCTGGGTAGTCTGTAACCCTTTAACTCCCAGTCAGTACCCTTTACCCTCGCAGTCAGTACCCTTTAACCCCCAGTCAGTACCCTTTAACCCCCTCAGTCAGTACCCTTTAACCCTCCCAGTCAGTACCCTTTTACCCTCCAGTCAGTACCCTTTAACCCCCAGTCAGTACCCTTTAAGTCAGTACCCTCCCAGTCAGTACCCTTTACGTCACCCTTACCCAGTCAGTACCCTTTACCCCCAGTCAGTACCCTTTACCCCCAGTCAGTACCCTTTACCCTCCCAGTCAGTACCCTTTAACCCCCAGTCAGTACCCTTTACCCTCCCAGTCAGTACCCTTTAACCCCCCAGTCAGTACCCTTTAACCCCCAGTCAGTACCCTTTACCCTCCCAGTCAGTACCCTTTAACCCTCCCAGTCAGTACCCTTTAACCTACCCAGTCAGTACCTTTACCCTCCCAGTCAGTACCCTTTACCCTCCCAGTCAGTACCCTTTAACCCCCAGTCAGTACCCTTTTACCCTCCCAGTCAGTACCCTTTAACCCCAGTCAGTACCCTTTACCCTCCCAGTCAGTACCTTTCCCCTTTAACCCCAGTCAGTACCCTTTACCCTCCAGTCAGTACCTTTTACCCTCCCAGTTAGTACCCTTTTACCCTCCCAGTCAGTACCCTTTACCCTCCAGTTTTACCCCTGGTCTAAGTAAACAGTACCCTTTACAATACCCTTTACGCTCCCTAGTTTGACACCTCTAGTCTAGGTAAACAGTACCCTTTACACCCCGGTTTGACACATCTGGTCTGGGTAAACAGTACCCTTTACAGTACCCTTTACACCCTAGTTTGAGGTCCCTGGCCTGGATAATCAGTACCTTTTACCTGAGGTGGGACCAAGTCTTTGTTTTGCAAGTCTCAAGTCAGTCTCAAGTCTTTGACCTCAAGTCCGAGTCAAGTCCCAAGTCAAATACAGGCAAGTCCAAGTCGAGTCTCTAGTCTCTGGCCCATAAGTCCAAGTCAAGTCCAAGTCGTCTGCTTTGAACTTCAAGTCATTACAAGTTTTTAAACCAAAGTACCAAATATAGCTTAGATTTTTGCCATTTATATGAATTTTGAAGATAAATTGTACTTAAAAATAAAATCATAGTATATTTATATTTGAGTATTTATAAAGTGTGTAAGAGTTTTAGAAATGAATGTACTTATTTTTTTCCTGTTTTAAATGTTTTGACAAGATCTTCGTGTGAATCATTACAGTCAGAACAGAAAGAATTCAGATTTAAAAGTGTTTCTCAAGTCACAGGCCTCAAGTCCCAAGTCGAGTCCCAGGTCTTAGTCCATTTTATCAAGTCAAGTCTCAAGTCTGACTCAAGTCCAAGTCATGACAAGTCCCCCTCTCTGCCCAGTTTGACGCCCCTGGCCTGGGTAAACAGTACCCTTTACCCCCCCCAGTTTGACGCCCCCGGATGTAAATACTGGGTCTGGAACACGTGTACTTTTATTGTGAAATCCTCCCCTGGAACATTATTGGGACATTATTGGAACGACGAGACGCTGGAGGGCTTTGGACCAGTCTGAACAAGAATCTCATAAAACCTCTCAGTGCTTTGGCTTTGCTCCCTGTGAAAGCCCCAGATATCAGGAAGACAAAAAAACAGAAGGCTTTTCTAGGTCTAGTTCAAGTCTACCCGGCAACAGCGTAATAAACCGACCAATCAGAGCCCACACAGTTCAAGTTTCTCAAGTTTATGTTCATCACAAAAGAAGGCACAGATAAAAACACTTCTCACAGTTTTTTCCTGATTGTCGTTTAGCATTCCAACATTTACACTAAAATCACAAGTGATTCTTTCATTTCTTTGGTTCAATCACAAACTGGGATTTACATAAAATGACATTCTGCTCCTGGGTCGGTCTTGTGGGACTACAAACATGGCTGCCAGAGTGCTGGGAGACTACAAACATGGCTACCAGAGCTCAAAGAAATTATAAACGTGACTGCCAGAGCTCTATGAGACTACAAACATGTCTCCCAGAGTGTTAGGAGACTACAACCATGGATGCAAGCTCTGACAACCATGTTTGTAGTCTGTAGTAGACTACAAACATGTCTGCCAGAGCTCTAGGAGACTACAAACATGGCTGCCAGCACTCTAGAAGACTACAAACATGGCTACCAGAGCTCAAAAAGATTATAAACGTGACTGCCAGAGCTCTATGAGACTACAAACATGTCTCCCAGAGTGTTAGGAGACTACAACCATGGATGCAAGCTCTGATAACCATGTTTGTAGTCTGTAGTAGACTACAAACATGTCTGCCAGAGCTCTAGGAGACTACAAACATGGCTGCCAGCACTCTAGAAGACTACAAACATGGCTGCCAGAGCTCTAGGAGACTACAAACATGGCTACCAGCGCTCTGGAAGACTACAAACATGGCTGCCAGCACTCTAGAAGACTACAAACATGGCTGCCAGCACTCTAGAAGACTGCAAACATGGCTCTGGAAGATGTCTTTTTTTCTCTCAACTGCATTTCATCAGATTTAATTATTCCTATGCCTGATGGTTGCAGTGAGAGGTCCCAGACTGCTCCGGTGTAGAAATCGAGTGGTGACAAACACTCTAATGTGACTGGCCAGGAGTTTGTACAATCTTTAAAAGGTCCTATATTACACAAAACTGATTCTTGTGAGTTTTAAGTCACGTTATAAGACCGTTACCTCCTCAAAAACAAACCTGGAGTTGTATTTTGTTTCAGTCACTCCACGTGCACGATGAGGAAACAACATTATAACATAGATCAGAAAATAGTGTAACATGGGTCCTTTAACCTTTTCCAAACTAAATGTAAACTGGGGAGGGCTGCACAAACAACACAGCATAATGGAAAAAAAACAATGTGCCTTTCACAAGAAACTACAAAACACCCGACTGGGATTTAAAATGACATTTACAATACTGCATATAGTTTTGTAATGAGATAATTTTGTCTGTCCCTGGTCCCAAACTGTGCAGCCCTGCCTCAGTACGACTCCGAGTTTGACCTGCGCCATCTGCCCCACTGGACTCTACAGCCGTGTTTCTCCCATAGACTGTATATACAAATGGACATAGCCGCGTTCCATCGACTCTGGCTCCGATTCACTTTCTATTGAAAAGCCGTCGCCCCTCTCTCTGTAACTGCTGCTGTCAGACTCGCCGTTTTGGTCTTAAAACGTTCGTATTAACCCGCTCTACGCGATTCTGGTGTTCTTATTTTGCTATTTTGTCCGTAAATAAAGATACGGACAGGGCTGGTGATCATTAAGAAGTTGGCGATATGATACATACCTCGATACGGTGAGCTTTCGATTCGATACGATTCAATACGATATATTTCAAATTAATAATTAAAAAATAAAGCCTAATTCATGGCTGTGATAATAAAAGTCTTTATTAAACAATTTCTTGTGCAAAGTTCATATGAAACACCCAATTTTAATCTTCAAAACTGTGAAAATGTCAAATGTGTCGCATAAAAAAGTTTCCTTCCCCTAAACGCGCAACAAAATGGTCGCGCTGTAACAAAATAATTTAGTAAAATACACCAAAAATTACTCTTGGCAATATATCGATACAGCAGCCCGTAATATCAATACTGTATCATCACATTAAACGATACGATACATAGATATTTTGATATTTTTGCGCACCTCTAAATACGAAGAGTAAGAACGGACAAATCAGGCGCCTTCGTTCCCTGAGGTCGCTCCAGCTTAACAGTTTGATTGACGGCGTTGATGAGAGCCCGCCCCCAGGCTAAATCAGCGGCGCGGGAAGGAACGGGCGTTACCTTCAATAATCTCACTCCTGATTGGCTCTTTGGTTCCTATGATACTCGCAGTCGGAATTCCAAATAATGGGATTCGGAACTCTAAATTCGCCGCTATGACTGCTAATCTCGATGAGCTTCATTTGACTGGAGCCGAACGCCATTTCTTTATACAGTCTACGTTTTTTTCGTCCCAAAGCCGAATTTACCCCAGAATCCTTTGTGCTTGGACACTGAGACCATGTGACCCTTAAAGAGCATCGAAAAACACACAACAATAAAAAAGTGCAAAAAGACATGGATTAAACAAGTTTTGAGTCCAGCCCGATTCAAGTCCCGAGGGTTCCAGCGGGGTCAGGGAGGGGTCGCGGCGGGGGGGTCACGGAGGGGTGCCCACGTCCACTGTGATCCGCGTGAACAAATCGAAGCGCTCCGTCTTCATCACGCGGTACGTCAAGGAGTTTATGCCGTCTTTGTGCATCGTCTCCCTGGTGTGGGAGATTCTGTCAAACCTGAGGCAGAGAGAGGAGAGAGGGTGAGAGGAGGACGAGAAGAAAGGATGAGAGGAGGAGAGGAGGAGACAGAGGAGGAGAGACAGAGGAGGAGAGACAGAGGAGAGAGAGGAGGAGAGACAGAGGAGGAGAGACAGAAGGCAGAGGAGGAGACAGAGGAGGAGAAGACAGAGGGAGAGAGAGACAGAGGAGGAGACAGAGGAGGAGAGACAGAAGGAGAGAGAAGAGGAGAGAGAGACAGAGGAGAGAGAGGAGGAGAGAGGAGGGAGGAGGAGAGACAGAGAGGAGGAGAGGAGGACAGAGGAGAGAGACAGAGGGAGGAGAGAGGAGAGAGACAGAGGAGAGAGACAGGAGAAGAGAGGAGAGCAGAGGAGGAGACAGAGGAGGAGAGACAGAGGAGAGGAGAGGAAGAGAGGGAGTGAGAGGAGGAGAGGATGAGAGGAGGAGAGACAGACAGAGGAGGAGAGAGGACAGAGGAGAGAGAGAGAGACAGAGGAGAGAGAGACAGAGGAGGAGAGGAGGAGACAGAGGAGGAGAGACAGAGGAGGAGAGACAGAGGGGGAGAGAGAGAGAGAGAGGAGGAGAGACAGAGGAGGGAGAGAGGAGACAGAGAGAGAGAGACAGAGGAGGAGAGACAGAGAGGAGAGACAGAGAGGAGGAGAGGAGAGAGGAGAGAGAGACAGAGAGAGGAGGAGAGACAGAGAGGAGGAGAGGAAGAGAGAGGAGAGGAGAGAGGAAGAGAGAGACAGACAGAGGAGGAGAGGAGGAGAGACAGAGGAGGAGAGACAGACAGAGGAGGAGAGGACAGAGAGGAGAGGAGGAGAGACAGACAGAGAGGAGAGAGACAGAAGAGGAGAGAGAGAGAGACAGAGGAGGAGAGACAGAAGAGGAGAGGAGAGAGAGAGAAGAGAGAGAGGAGAGAGAGAGAGAGACAGAGGAGGAGAGACAGAAGGAGAGAGGAGGCGAGACAGAGGAGGAGAGGAGGAGACAGAGGAGGAGAGAGGAGGAGAGACAGACAGAGGAGGAGAGAGAGGAGATGAGACAGAAGAAGAGAGACAAAAGAGGAGAAGACAGAGGAGGAGAGACAGACAGAGGAGAGACAAAGGAGGAGAGACAGAAGAGGAGAGACAAAGGAGGAGAGACAGGAGCAGGGGAGGAGAGACTGAATGAGAGCATAAGAGGAGGAGACAGAGGATGAGAGGAGAAGAGACAAAGGAGGAGAGACAGAGAAGAGACAGAAGAAGAGAGATAGAAGAGGAGAGCCAGACAGAGGAGGAGAAGAGGGGGAGAGGGGGAGAGGGGGAGAGGAGGAGAGCCAGAAGAGCAGACAGAAGAGGAGGAGAGACAGAGGAGGAAAGCCAGAGGAAGAGAGCTAGAAGAGGAGAGCCAGAGGAGCAGAGGAGGAGTGGAGCAGTGAAGAAGAGCTAGAGGCGAAGAGAAGAGGATTAGAGCCAGAGGAGGAGAGAATGAGAGGGTGAGAAGAGGAGAGTCAGAGGAGGAGAGGAGCAGAGGAGGAGAGACAGAGGAACAGAGGAGAGCCAGAGGAGGAGAGTCAGAAAACGAGAGGGTGAGAGAAGGAGAGCCAGAAGAGCAGAGACAGAGGAGGAGAGTTAGAGGATGAGAGTGAGAGGAGGAGAGAGAGAGAAAGAGAGCCAGAGGAGGAGAAGACAAGAGTCAGAGGAGGAGAAGAGGAGGAGCAGAGCCAGAGGAGCAGAGAGGAGCAGTAGTAGATACCTCTGTGGGTTTGGGTCGTTCTTCTGGTCCCTCTCGTGTCTGATCATTCTGCACTTCCCGATTTCACCGCTCGGTCTGGAGATGGTCATGCCTTTGGACGCCAATCTACACAGTCAAACATCACAACAAGTGTACTGTAAGTAACAAGTATTTTAGTCCCGGTCCAGTCCTAGTCCTGGTCCTGGTCCTGGTCCTGGTCTCTCTCTTGGGAGGGGGGCACATAAAAACATTTGCTATAGTGTTAAAAGTGAAAACAACAATGACCAAGAAGAAAACATCATGGATAAGTGTTTTTAGTGTCTTTTTTTCTACACTACGACCACGAGCGTCTCACCTGTTGTAGATATCGTCGTCCTCTCCGCCCCAGCCCCAGTAGTTGTTCGGGAATCCGTTGATTTTCAGATATTGCTCTTTGCTCATGGACGAGACGCCTCCGAAGTACTGGTTGTACGGAAGTCTGCAAGAGAACAGGGACCGTGTGAGCGGAGCCGGGTCAAAGTTTCACCTCAGTCCCACATGAGCGCCACCCGAGCCCCGCCTGGGTCCGATCCGAGCGCGCAGACTGTATAAAGGGACGCAGCTAATCTCCGAGCCGCCGAATAGGCAGTAGGAATCTAACAACAACCGAAATATTGTCAAAAGTCTCAAAATAATATCACGGGGCATCAAAATATATCGAATTACAAGTTTCTTCGCTTGAATGCGTTGTTTTGGTGCAGTATCAGCTAAAAAAAACTAAGGGAACTACATAAACCATGATCCTTTGCTGCAGTTTCAGTCCAGTTTCAGTCGCTTTTAAATCTGAAAGTATTTGGATTATGACAGAAAACAACAAGCTGAGAGATTTGGACATTGTTACATCCTTTATAGGCAGTGAGCAAAAACATTCTTCCTCTCTCTGTAAATGCTGCTGTCAATCCTGTCAATTTGGCCTTAACTCGCTCTACATGATCCTGGGTTTTTATATTACCGTGTTTTTCAGACTATAAATTGCACTTTTTTCATGGTTTGGGTGTTTCCTGCGACTTATATATTAAAATTTTCAGTCTTGTGTGTCAGTATCTGTACCTCCTCCATCCTGTACCACTGTCACTTGGCTCTACTGCGCATGTCTCCTGCAGAAAGAGCCTCTGTCGTGTCTGTATCATGTCAGTGTCTCGTAGGACTTCAGCAGATTTCAGGCTCCCTGGGTGTATCGATCAGGTATGAGTGGATGTCCGGCTACTGAAGTTTGAGACGTTTCTTCTCGTCATTTACGCACTCACCTGCATCTAACGCATACGTTGAGTCTTTGAGTTTAGTGCCCTGGTTCAGTCTCTTGTTCAGTCCTGGCTTAGTCCTTCTTCAGTCCTTACCTGAACCCAAACTTGTCCATAGTCACAGAGATATCTGAGTCCTGGCTGACTCCTGGTTTAGCCCTGGTTTAGCCCTGGTTCAGTCTCTGGTTCAGTCTCTGGTTCAGTCTCTGGTTCAGTCTCAGTCTCTGCTTCAGTCTCTGCTTCAGTCTCTGCTTCAGTCTCTGCTTCAGTCTCTGGTTCAGTCCTGGTTCAGTCCTGGTTCAGTCCTGGTTCAGTCCCTGGTTCAGTCCTGGTTCAGTCCCTGGTTCAGTCCCTGGTTCAGTCTCTGGTTCAGTCTCTGGTTCAGTCTCTGGTTCAGTCCTGGTTCAGTCCCTGGTTCAGTCCCTGGTTCAGTCTCTGGTTCAGTCCCTGGTTCAGTCCCTGGTTCAGTCCTGGTTCAGTCCCTGGTTCAGTCCCTGGTTCAGTCCCTGGTTCAGTCTCTGGTTCAGTCTCTGGTTCAGTCTCTGGTTCAGTCTCTGGTTCAGTCTCTGGTTCAGTCTCTGGTTCAGTCTCTGGTTCAGTCCCTGGTTCAACCCTGCTTCAGTCTCAGTTTAGTCCTTCAGTCCTTACCCGAACCCAAACTTGTCCATAGAAAAAAACAGGTGGCGTAGCTGGTTGAAGTACTTGTAGTTCTAGTTTAGTCCTAGTTTAACCCTGATTCAGTCCCGGTTGAGTCCTTAGCTGACTGAGTCCTTAGTTCTTCTTTAGTCCTTACCTGAACCCAAACTTGTCCATAGACACAGAGAGGTGGCGCGGCTGGTTGAAGCACTTGTACGTGTTGCGATCGTCCATGGGGATCAGATCCACGTCGCTGAACACGAAGCACTCGTAGTCGTACTCCTTGAGGGCCTCCGTGTAGCCGATGTTGAGCAGCTTGGCGCGGTTAAAGGTGGCGTCTCCGTCCTGGGTAGAGCAACAACACAAGCACAAAGTCATAAATCATAATTCACTCAAACTGTTACATAACGCTCTCATCCTTCCATCTCAACTGTTGTGTGGAAATATGGAGAAATAATTATAAAACATTCTATTCTATTCAATTCTATTTTCTTGCTGCAAAAGAAAGCTATTGTGATTAATGCAGATTACTATGCCCCAACAAAGTTAACCTGTTGGGGTTAACACTCCAACAGGGTCAAGTTAAACCTGTGATATTCTTTCAAGTTGTTGACAAAAAATTTAAAAACTCATGTCGGTAACGGAGGGAATGAAATATGCAGCACTTTTTGGGCAATAAATACAAACAGTGATAACTCTTGGTTCTCACTTACATATCCTTAACAAACTGGTTTGAATATTTGCTTCATATAGTTTTCTACCATATGGTACAAGATTAGGTTCTTACTTTTTGAGTCATGAGATTTTTTATGAAGAAAGGTCATGGTAACGGAGGGAAAAGTAACGGAGGGAAAATTGTGCAAACAAGTAGAAGGTGCAGGATTTTACATAATTTGTCAGTTTTTTTCTTCCGAATACTTTAATATTACTTCAAAATGAAAGGAAACTATTTCTATAAAATATGTCGGTCCTTCCAAGTACATTTTTATTATTTTAAATACATAAAAAAAAAAAAATCATGTACCTTCATCAACAGTTCAAAGATGGAACAACACAAGATATGATGAAATACATCCATTTATTTACATGATTTTTGGGTCTTTGAAATTTGGGAAATAATTTTTGTTCCATGTTTCATACATGGTCTGTTTAAAACGTATGTAACTTTAGAACCAAAAATGGTACAGAAAAAAGGTCAACAGTTTCATAAACTAGAGTACATATGTATCTGTTCAATACATTTTTATATCAGATGCATTAACTTGAAATTTTGGCCTTGTTGTTTACTTCTGCTTGACCGGGCCCAAATGCTCTCTGTATTAAATTAAATACATTAAAATTACATAACCTTGTTGATCTAAATACTGAAATTGTCATGTTTAAGGCACATAATAATCTGCTTCCTCAGAGAATTCAAGACATGTTCAAACCCAGAGAGAATGAGCACAAACTGAGAGGATTGAGCCTCTTTCACAAAACTCATGTGAGGAAGAGCCTGAAAAGTCGATGTGTCTCCATCAGAGGTGTTAATCTGTGGAATAGTCTAGATGGAACTTTAAAAGGCTCTAAAACAATTTACACATTTAAAAAAAAAAAAAAAAAACCAGAATTATTGAGAATTATAAAGAAATACAATAAATCAGATTTTACCTCATGTAATTTACAGATTAACTGTAACTCTCAATTATATTTATATATTTAAGTGTATTTATAAACCAATAGGTATAAATATTAACATGTACATGGTCTGTGTGTGTGTTTGTGTTTGTTGTGTATGAACATCGACCTATACTGGATTGTGTTCTGTATTGTGTATGTGTAAACCAAAAGATTCCTTCCATCTTGTATCCTGTTCTATATGTTAACATGGTTTGGCAGAACAAGTGTTAAACTTCAGCCTAAACCCCTTCGGTCTGTAGAATAACTTTAGTGATATGCATAAAATACCGTATTTTCCGCACTATAGGGCACACTTAACATTTAATTTCATCAAAAAATGACTGCGCACCTTATAATCCAGAGCGCCTTATATATGAATTTATTTGCGTGTCTTAGTACGGCTTTAGTAAACTACAAAGCCGCAACACTTGCAGCATTACCATAGTCAGGAGCATCACGGAGTAAAACATACTGTGATTCCTTTTAATATCAAAATGCACCTGTCAAGAGACACACTCACAACTCAAGGCTGTTATAAAGTGAAAGTGCGTTTAGCTGCATGGGAGCAGTGGATGAGAGAAGGAGAACACACATTCACCAAGACAGGGAGACAACACCGAGCGACTTACGCCACGATCTGCCGACGGATCGTGGACGCCCGGGCTAAGGATCAGTATCAACTGTGGTCCGAGCTTTCACCAAGACCAGAATCATCACGAACTGTAACCACACTGACTCGGACAATGACGAGAGGGATGCTGGACGCCGTAATCGCCCAACTGTTTGAACAATTACGACTTATTGTGAATACCCGAACAATTTAGCATCTCAGTATTTTTTTACGCGTTACAATTGAACAGAGTTGAGAGTTATTGTGAACGCGTTAAATAAAGTTTGACTGACTTATCTAACTGCTGTGTTTTCTTTAATGCGCCTCATAGTCTGGTGCGGTTTATATGTGAAAAAAGTTCAAAATTAGACCATTCAATGACAGTGCGCCTTATAATCCAGAGCGCCTAGAGTGTATAACTTTTTGTGTTAAATCATTGTAATATGATGTATGATTATGTTAACTGACTGAAGAAAATAAACTAACAAAGTCAAACAGGAAGTGGTGTTCAAATATTTCGGGTATAGAAAATCAGATACTGAAACGAGCATCGAAACTAGACACTGAGGCCCCATTCACAGGACAGAAATGAACCTTTCACGCTTCAGAATGATCTTGATCTGAATCAGAACAAGAATAAGAGCACAAAGACTAGTACACGCCCATGGACCAGTGAGAGATGACACAGATATCAGACCACATGAGAGTATAAAAGAAAGTATTACGATTTAATGTTGAAAATCACATTCTATTGTCTAAAGAAAGTTTTGTTTTTTTTCCACTGTGACATGAAAACCATCTCATGAGACTTGATTAAAGCTTAAGCCGTATTCACACAGGATTAGTTTTACCTGTGGACCTTTGGTGATTTGTAATAATCGCAGAAGACGCCTGAGATCTTAATCCCGTGCGAATGCGTCATGTCTGTAATTTGTAAAGTAAAAATTCAGCCGCAAATTACCTACTATATTTCGCCAAACGCAGACGTCCAGTGATAATACAACTCCAGCGCGAATTTGCATCTCAGTGTTTGTTGTTGTAGCTTTCTCTTTTTTTCCGTGTGCTTTTCTCTTTCAGTCTCAGTCAGTGTCAGTAAACTAGAGTAATTTGCAGACTTCGTTTATCCCGTGTGAATGCGCCGCGAGTAACACAGAGGTGGGCCGGTAATTTGGAAAGTACCAGACGTCCCCCGGGTTGTACTTATCCCGTGCGAATAAGGCTTTAGTCCTGAACCAGAACTTGCTGCTAACTGATCTTTGTGCCACCGAACTAGGAACATGATCACATATGTTCTGATTTTGCCCTGAAACTTTGGGCAATCAATTTTCAAATTTCACTTTTACTTCACTACATTTGAGAGCAGAATCCGTGTTTCATTCGTTCATTCATTTTTCAATATAAAACCAAAAATAAAAAAACGAAAAAACAACTGTTTTCTTCATTATTTGTCTACAAAACCAAAATGAAAAAATGGATAACGATTAGTTTTTTCAGTTTTCGATTTTATGTTTAAATGAAGAAGGGAAAAAACGGATAACGGCCGTTTTCCGTTTACGTGACTTCCGTGACTGCGATGCCGGACTTTTGCACTGCATACGGACTGAACCAGGACTGATCCAGGTCCTAGACCAGACCGGGACCAGACCGGGACCAGAGTGGGACCAGGGCGGACTCCTAGCTTTGATTCCGAGCCTCGGCTTCGAGCTCCAACCCTGATGTGAGCTCTGAGCCTCCGGTCTGGTCCCAGTCTAGTCCCGGTCTGGTCCCGGTCTGGTCCCGGTCTGGTCCCGGCCTTGTCTCGATCTCAGTCCCAGTCTGGTCCTGGCCTAGTCCTGGTCTTGTGTCGGTCTCAGTCCGGCTCTGGTCCTGGTCCGGTCCCGGTCTCAGTAGCGCTCTGGTCCCGGACCTGGTCCATTTGAACCAAAAGCTCTTAGTTCGGTTCGTTTTCGTTGGTGTGAAAGCTTCAATTGGACTTGGACCAGCACCAAATCAAATGGACCGAGACATCAAAAAAGAGGTGGTCTCGGTTCACTTGAATTTGTACCAAATACCAAATTTTGTTATCAGTTTTTTCCATTTTCATTTAAACACAAAATCGAAAAATGAAAAAACGAATCATTATCCGTTTTTTTCATTTTGGTTTTGGAGACAAATAACGAAGAAAACAGTTGTTTTTTCGTTTTCTTATTTTTGGTTTAATTTTGAAAAACGAATGAATGAATGATACACGGACTGAGCAGGTATCTGTAGTTTCTACTCCACTACATTTTTGAACAGGACTGAAAAGAAAGTAACTAAGGGTTTATTATTTTTTAACACATTCACAGTCTGAGCAAACAAAAAATATGCTAGGAAAAAATGGACTGAACAAAGTTCAGATTTAAAAAATACTCTGTGCCGTTTAAGTCCATTTCCATTACATACTTAATATTTTTACTTAAAGGTGCATTGTATAACTTTTCTAGTTCGTCAAATGCTTTTCTCCAAGGAAATGTTATTGCTTCGTTTGGAAAGTAGTTTGGCATTAAACCGAAAAAATAAAATACAGGTCAGATCTATAGAGAGCTGACCCCGCTCACAGTCAACATTCCCGTTTTTTTAATACTTTTTTAGGTATTTCTGGGCTATAAAACCACCTGTAATTTAATAAATATGCGGAAAACATAGAAACAAGCAGGTGAAAAGTTACACCGCGCATTTTCAAGTAACAAAATGTACTCGTTCTTCCACCGCAGGGTAACATGAGGCTGTGCGCTCCCTCGTAGCGTCTCACAGCTGTGGAATGATCCTGCAGAAATGAGGAAGCTCCAGAGACTCAAACATGCTACAGACACCAGGCCTGAAATAACCCCGCGAACTCACACATCTGTACTTGTGCTGCGTCTTCTGATCTATAAAACTGACAGTGTTCTTCCTTATCTGACCTCAACTACTACGAACAGTTACGAGACAAAGCACAAGCCGAAAGAAAAGAGTGTTTTTTTTTATCGTCACGGTATTGAGTCCCACACAACTGAGAGACTATGCAGATATAAGACCGCATGGGAACAGAAAAGAAAAGTATGAGGATTTAATG